GGCGGTGTTTCGTTCTGCTATGCATGGAGTTGCTTGAGTCGGAAATGACTCAACAGCACCTAATAACAACACTAATACTTCTTCATTAACATAACAAAGAAAGCCCATTCTCAAATGGGATTATGATCACAGATATAGGAGTAAGGATTAATATAGGATATAAAATCAAAAAGTGGCATCTGACCTAAAATAAAAATGGCTGAACTAATTCTAAAAGTTCAGGGATACCTTTCATATAGATTCAAACTTGTTGCTTTGGAACCAACCCTATTATTAAGGTTTTAGGGTTAGGGTAAGACTGTAAATATGTAACCAAACTTCATCAAAATCTTTGTGTTAGATCTCTAGAAAATCTAATGGTCTGGGGTGAGGTAATGTTTAAAAATCTGTTTCCAGCAGTAGCCATCATGCCATTGTTTTGAGAATTTACAAACGTTTGTAATTGTCTTTTAGCCAATCCATGTGTCCAGTTGTATTAATGTAACCAATAATGTTAAAGATCATGCTTCCCCTTTGACTGACTTCAACCCCTATAATCACTCAGAACATTGTGTTTCTAGTTCCTCCTGTGGGGTGGTAATTATGTGTGATTTACAACCTTCCCTCTGTGAGCTTCAGACCCTGAGGTTTTCATGCTCCCCCATTTGAATGACATATTGACTTCAATTTCTTTAAGAATTAGAGACATTTTTCTCTACAACAGGATTTACAACACATATTTTTCATTGCCACAATTCAATCCATAACATTATATTTTCAAATTTTCAGCAATAAGCATATATGACACTAATGATAAAAAATCAATTAAATGTTAATAAAAATATAATTCTCATAAGAAGACAAAATTTTATGTTTATAAGAAGATAACTACTTGGATTGTTCTAAGTGTAGCCACATGAATATGTGGCTGAGACTTCTCTTGTTATTAAAGTTGTGACAAATACCCAATTCTTCTTCCAAATCAGACTTTTTGGTTAATAACAATGTATTGAAATTATGCCTTAGGAAATAGCTATTGTTTTAAAGATGTAAATGTCCAAGCTTTAAAGGAATAAAATGCAATGTGTTATAATTAAGAAGTTAATAAGGGGAATACTTTTTTATTTTTCTCAAACTTTCTATATCCTGATAAGCATCCTAATTTCTAATGACTCTATGAGATTATAGTAATGAAACTTTTAAGCTGGAAAAGGCTTCTATCTAAATGTATACACTAAATTGTAACTGTAGTTTTAATATTTGATAATTCAATTTAAAAAATATTACAAATTATACTATTGGAACTGCTCTTATCAGTAATATAGGTCTGCAAACTATGGCCTATAGTCCAAACTGGGTCAATGCCTGCTTTTGTATAGCTCCTGAGCTAATAATAGTATTTACATTTTTAAATAGTTGGAAAATGTCAAAAGAAAAATAATATTTCGTTGTTGTTGTTGTTATGTGCCATCGAGTCAAACCTGACTCATAGCGACCTCTCCTTGGGTTTCCAAGGCAGTATCACTACGGAAGTAGGATTGCCCAACC